CATTTATATATATTTATTATTTTTATTATATTGACCTTTCAGCTGTGCCTGGCTTACAATACAGAAGTTACAATGATGCGGCTCATGTGCACTCATGTTACCCTATTAAATAACATAAAACTGACCTTTGGTCGGTACAAAGTAACTTGTCTTGGCTGTGTTATAGTAGACTGCTCTAAACAGTGTTGTCATTATATACTCTGATTGTACAGAAATGTATATTTATGCAGAGGAGGACTGCCCACCAAAGGATAGAGATGAGTACCAGTGGCTACTTTGTAACAACCGACTACCCCATGAACAAGACAAGCTGATGCTAACTCAGATCATTGCTGACACAGCTCTTTGGGATGTAGGGAAGAAATTGCACGAGTTGCGAGTAAGATGGAATATCACTGCGTATTGTAAGTGTCACCAAAATTCCAAGGAAAAAAATACAGAAGGCAAGAAGTCCACAAATGGTATCTGCAAGGTTAGTGGTGTTACTTGATTCCTTAGTTTGTCAAAATGTATTTTTTGGAGAACAGTTGTTAACATTTGAAATGAATGAAAGAAGACAGAAACTGGCAGTGCCAGAGCTGGAAAATTTTCAATGTATACTTTTTTTTATAGTTTTATTTTTTATTGCATTTAATTACTATGTAACTAAAGATTCTCTGCTGTCTGATATATAATGATTCGTATTAAACTTGGGTATGTGATATAAGACAAACGAAGACAAAGCAAAAAAGACTTAGTCATTTTAATTCAAAAGTTATAATATAAATATTAAGTTTCAGAAGAGAGAGAGAAAAATTTCTATTGTTCTTTGCTTCTAAAAGTTCTGCCTGAAACTGCAGTTTGTAAAAATCACTTTTGAGATACATTAGCATTATTTTTTACAAATACAATGCAAAATATTTTAAATATTAATTCAGTTTTTCCTCATACTAATAGCCTTGTTGCAAAATCTTTAGCAGTTCAATAAAAGTTACAGAAGATAATATTGTTTTTGGCAGTGTGATGTATTAAATGGTATATTTTTAACTGTATACATTTCAGCAACTCATGAGTGCTGTGACCAAGTGTTTTACAGAGAGAGAGACTGGTCCTGTGAATGGTTTGGCAGGACAAACAAGGGCAACTAGGAAGTCCTCTAAAGTCAATGGCATTTCCAACCTGATCAACAAAGAAGAAGCTTTATGTGGTTATAGTTCAGAAAGTGGAGGATCACCTCTTAGCTGGTTAGCTGATGTTGCCTTAAATTCTTCTGGAAAAATGTTGGACAGAGGAAAGAATGAAAGATTTATAAAAGGTAATGAAAGTTCTTCCGCTTTAGTTGAAAAAAGTTCCGATGAAATACCTGGCAGTGACGATGAAAGGAATGATAGTTTTTCTACATTAAGAGAACTTCTGATTAGACCAAGTGGGAAAAATGGTAATGGTGGTAGCAGCAACAGTAATGTAATAAACAACCAGAGAAAGACACTGACCAGCAGCTTGGAAGAGGTAATCTCATGTGTCATTGAACATGGAGTAGGCAAACTAGACAAGACTGTTAAAGAAGAGAAACAATTAAAATACTTTGTACGTCGATATCCAAAAGTTGAAAGGGGTATGGGACTACCACCAATCAGGGTTTTTACGCTGGCAGAAAGTATGCTGCTTTATCCAGATGTCCCTCATTCTTGGTTATGTAATGGAAAGTTGCTACTTCTGCATGATTCTCAACACAATGAAAATCTAAGTATTTTCCAGGAACAGTGGAAACGTGGACAGGTATTAAAGTTTCCTTATTGAATTTTATATAGTTTGACCTTGTATTAGTGAAGATGTAAACATTATCATCCAACACAATAACTTGGGAATCCAAAATCTACTAGAGATTTTCAGTTCTTTTCTTTTAATGTATAACAACAAATTTCTCAATTTGTCTTTTATACTTTAAGAGCAATATGCAAAAACAATGTTTGGATAAAATGTGTCAAAAAAAGCAGCTATGTTACCCTTCCATCAAATTACTATCAATTATTTTGTTTTGAATTTTTACACACACATCAGAATTATAGGAATTGATGGCTGAAATACTGGAACTTTAATAAAAGAACTAGAAATTGAAACAAATATACCACATTTTTTGGCTTGGCACTTGTTTGCATAACAAAATTGGAAATTTGACGTTTCTCACATTTTATTTTTATGTTATATTATTTATATGCTTTTAGATGAAATGGAGTTTTTGTTTTACATTATGCAGTTCTAGGTAATATTCTTGAGATTTTGTTATATTACTTGGTGAATTACTAGGTTAGATGTAATTTTTTCTTGTTATTGTAACCTGATAAAGCCTGTGCTAACTTCTTTATGCCTTTTCAGCCTGTGATGGTTGATAATGTGACTTCCAAGTTAGACATGAGTTTGTGGCACCCAGAGAGTTTTACTCGAGACTTTGGAGATGTTAAGAATGACTTGGTCAATTGCAGAACTGGTGCAATATTACCAAACCTGCCCATGAGGAAGTTTTGGGATGGATTTGAAAGTTTTTCTAGTAAGTTATGATACACTGACATTGTTTCATTTTGTGTAATTAAAAGAATAATGTGTGTCAGTCAGTCTGCATGTATGCATGCCAGCTCACATGGAAACCCAATATTCCTTTTGTCTAATTGCACAGTGGTACTTTTACATTTATATGAGTCAAAATTACAACATTTATAACACTAACTTTAAAGACAGTTACTTCAGTAACATAAACATGCAAGGAAACACATTAAGTTAATTCTTTACCTCTCTGTGGCTTATAAGTAATGTAATACAATTACATCTCAATACCAACTTCAAATAGATGCCTGAAAAGTTACAATTAGGGCTAAAATTTAAATACGCTTTGTACACAAAGCATGATTTTACTGCTATATAATCTATGGCAGTTAGCCTTAATAGTCACTGCCACAACTTCATTAATTTTTGATGCTGTACAGCTAACACATGCATGGGAAAAATAATTATAGGTTTCAGGTGATATGCAAATGCGACCTTGATATACACACACACACACACACACACACACACACACACACAACAAACAACTATTAGTTATTTTATTATTTCGTTACGGTTAACCTTTAATTTTAGTTAACTTAAACTACTAACTAGTTAGGTAAC